TGGTGGAGTCCCCATCCCTGGAGGTATTTAAAAGACGTGTAGATGAGGCGCTTAGGGATATGGTTTAGTGGGCATTGTGGTGTTGGGTCGACGGTTGGACTCAATGGTCTTAGAGGTCTTTTCCAACCTTAATGATGCTGTGATCCTAGAGGGGAAGGTGTGATTGCAGAGCTGAGCAGAGCTGCCACCCCTGAGAACCACCAGCCCGACTCACTGCACCTTAAAAAGGGACTTATAAAGGCAGGAGGAAGAAGCAGCGCAGAAAGCAGCACCACACACGGGTGGCGACACTGAAATCCTCACGTGGGCAGAGTCCAGCAGAACTCCGCTGAAAGCAAACCAGGGTCAGCTTAAAGCTTCAGAAGCAGAAGCACAGGCAGGGCAGCTCTGGCAGCAGCACATCTCGGCTGTGCTTGCGCAGCATGGCACGCACATCTTTTATACTGGAGCCACACTGACCAGGCCAGCGGCTAAAGCTGGGAGTTAATCTGCTCTTCTGCAGCCGTCTACACTAATTAATAGCAGCAATACGTTCCGGTTGAGACAACTGGATCAAATTCCTGGAAGCACTCCAGAGCATCAGCTTTTTCCCTTGATTGACATTTACATGTCTTTTGGGGGCTTTTTTTTGTTGACTCATTAACATATTCAAAAAGAAGGCATGTGGTGTGACAGCGTCAGTGAGGATGGTTAACCTCCAGCTTGGAGTCTGATACAATTTCTGGCTCATGGAAAAGCTGCCCCTGCTTGGGTGATGACCAGCATTAGCAGGAGCAATGGCTTGTATTTTCTCTTAGCCTGCGTTTTATAAACAGAGGGCAGGGAAAGTGGGGTGGGGGGAGTATGGTTTGTTACCTGGACCTATTGCTTGGAGACCTGGGTGGCAACATTTAGGCAAGATTTTTGCCAAAAGCCTTGCCTCGCTAGTGCTAGGGTAGAGGCACGGCTTATGGACGCCTTGCTTCGGCCGACGGCAGCTTCCCAGCTCTTCGGGGCTCTTCCCCGGCTGCCCGCGGTGTGTGAGCGCAGCTCCACGGCTGGCGGAGGGACGACCCTTTACTCACCTTCCTGCTTCTGTCCTCGGGTTTCTTCCATCACCTGCTGAAAACACAGGGACCGTGTCCTTTGGTGGCACGAAAGGGACCGGGAGCTCTTTGGCCACATCGTGAAGCATCCCATAGCAAGCCGCACTGCTGGGGGGGGGCAGGTTGCCCCAGCCCTGGGACGAGCACCCCCGCCCCGGCACATGGTGCCATTGCACTCCTCTTAAACATCCCAATCCCTCAAATCACCCCCAGAGACTGGCCTGGGGGGGAGGCAGTAAATCCCCACCCCCACCCGCACCGC